CATGCAGCAGCAGAGAGCACGTTGATCGCCGTGGGGGTATGCACCAGAGAGAAGAAAGGAGAGGGTCCAGAGCTGGAGGGTCGCACCGCTCCGGGACAAGACAACTCTCTGGTACAAAAGCAAACACCGGGGTAACTCTTACGTTAGCCCGAGAGCCCGCAAATAAAACAACGACAAAAAACAGAGGGGACGGGGGAAGAAAAAGAGGGGACGGGCGAAGCGTAGGCTGACTAAGAGAGCAGCACGCACCGCCCGAGGGAGACAGCAGGGTCGACGTCTTAGGGTAGATACCTGGAAGTGCAGACTCTGGCTGCAAACGGGGCGCATGGAAATGGGCGAGCCTACAGCATCCTACACGAGGCAGCGAGGCAAGACGTATCGGTGGTAGGGCTGCAGGAGACCAGGAGACCACGTGACACGGAAATTCCCAGCAGCGGGTTTCCGGATGCTGTGGCGCGGAGAATGGTAACATCCATGGTGTGGGAATGTAGCCGTTCAAGAGTCAATGTGCAAGACCTCCACTTTCACCACGCACTATATCGATGAACGCCTGATGGCGATGAGGTTAGAGATGATGGGCCACCGCGGAGCGGTCAACTTCGCTGCTGCTTACGCCCCAACCGATGTCGCCACAGCCGACACCAAGTCTCGTGCGAAGGATCCCGTCAAAAGAATGTGTGTATGGATGCCAATGCGCGGATAGGAGAGAGGATGGATGGAGAGGCCGGGGGATCATGGGCACACATGGGCGTGATGAGCTGAACGACAATGACCGACTACTGCTGACCTTCGCAACGGACAAGCTGGCAACCACGAACACCTTATCCGAGATACGCGAGGGCGGAATATGGCACACATACAAAGGTGCGTCAGGGACCGACTGCAAGCGCCTCGACTACATGCTAACGCGGCAGGCACACTGCGGCCGAGTGTCTAACGTGGTTGTCATCCCCCAGCCGGCACACACCCAGTCTAGGTGGACTCAGATCACAACATGGTGATAGCTACGGTCAACCTCGGTGGCAGGCTCGCCCCCAACCGAGCGGTTCGGACCAAACCGAAACAGAACCAGTTCACAGCCGGCGGGAGTTACAGGTCGAAGCAACGTGATGGGCGGTGGCTGACCGGTTCCTCCTCAACCTCGACCAACGACTGGGCGAGCAAACGACCACCACCCCGGAGATGGCCACCGAGTTCGCCAAGGCTCTCCTCGAAGCGGCGAGGGCCATACTACCCGAGGAACCGCGGAGACGACACGCGCAGGAGTGGTGTGAGGCCCCAGAGACGACAGCAGCCTCAGAGGAGGCCCTTACCAAGCGGCGGGAAGCGCGCCGCGGAACGAAGACTGCCTGTGGACAGTTATTATACTGATTTTAGCGGCAAGTATCTCACACTATCGTGGTATTTACCTACTGCTGTACATCATTCAGATTCGAATAACTCTAGCACCTGCCCATCCCCTATCGTCTAAAAAGAGCAGCCGTAAAATTTCAAGCCTAAACTCGTAGAAACGGCAGCGTGATGAGACGCGAGTGAACAAGTGTGAGCGTTCTCGACTATTAAGGAATAATAAAAACACACACAGAAAGACTACCCATTCGAGATATACCCACAGCAGTCGAACGGTATTTGAAGACTTCGCACATCATGGAACCAACCTCGGCCACTACCAGCACAAACTACTCCGTCCAACTACTCACCAATGCCCACGACTGTTGATCATAGTACTTCTCCTCTTCCGTGGCTTTCCCTGTCCCTGTCGCCACCCCTGGGGCCAGTGTCATCATGGGGGTGAAGGCTTGCGCCCTGGGGCGCCTGCTGGAAGAACGAGCTCTGACAGCAGCAGCGTCAGCAGCGATGATGCTGGTTGACTCATGATGTTTCAGCGCCCATCTAGATGGCGAGCACCCGGCGTTGAAGCTTTCAGAAACCGAGGCAATACTCGCGAAGGTTACCAGTCCCGCGACCGTCTTCGAGGTCGCCATGTGTACCCGTCTCTGGCGCTCCTGGCTTTTCCAATTATCGCGGTCAGCCTTGCGTTGGTTGATCACTTGCGCTTGCGCCTTGCGCCTGACGCGAGGGGGCCGCGCGGATGGTCCGGACCACATATGTGCATGCCCCGGGATGTGTGGCCCCCATCACAAAGCACAAGAGAGACACAAGCCAACAAGCGACACCACAACAGAGCAGGCCTAGCGCCCAAAGCAAGGGCAACTTGCCTTCAACACGCTTGCATTGGGGCTGTCGAACGAGCCTCAGAGCAACAAGCGTGTCTAACGGAGTTGCAACAAGATCCTGACGATTGGGTCAAGAAACCAGAGTTCTGTAGAGGGAAACATGCGATACAACCAAGGTGCAGGGGATGGCGTTCCTGTGGCATGTAAACACATGAACACGGTGCTTCCCCGTACCCAGTAACCACGTCGTTGGTGACGGTGGCCACGGCTACGGCAGCGGTGCTATCTCCGGCAGCTCCTCAACGAGCCGGCACAGGAATGAGCCCGCGCCATGTTGCACTCAGCCGGCGGGTACAGTAGTATAGTGCACGAGGCGAATAAAATTGCTAGACACAGACTAAACTTTTAGCTCTTTTGAGCAGCGGGAATCAAGAAGCCGCCTAATGCCCCCCTGTTCCGATGCCGCAAGGTCACACCGCCTGGAAAGCTGGTCCTTGTCGCGTGTAGCTGCCCCCTCTGCTCCAGACCCACCACGGCGAAGGGAAGAAGACTCCGAAACACCATCGCCACACCATCAAGGCAGAGGATCTTGATCTCCTCCAGCGCTGTACAGCTTAAAACAAGCAGCGACGCTAGGTAGAGTGTCCCACAACGAACGCCGCTTTAATACATAGCAAAGGACAGCACGAGCGGAAAGTTAGCGCCTCGCCCTCCTCTGCCAACTTGTTAAGTTTGTCCTTTTTTGAGGCTGCATTCTTAACTTCTGACTGCTACTGTATACTCTGTGGCACCGGTTGCGTAACCTAGTCACGCTTACTTCTGGTGCGTTAAATTACTACTACTCTCAGGCACACCCAATCGCCGAGTTGGAGACGATTGATATGCAATGTCCAAGCGTTTCAGACCCGCTAGAAAACAACAGACTTGTCCCTGAACCGTGCGAAAGAGGTGTCGCCGGCGAGACTATCTGCGGTGAATCCCACAACCATCTCTAATCTGAAAACATTGCGCTCGCTTGGCCCAAACCATGAGGTCGCTTCACGAAAACAAACACCGGTCTTCATCACTTTCACCTAACAAGACATTTACTAGATGCCCCAATCTAAACAACAAAACCCTGACGACTGCGATAAACATAAACATTGCATATCGTACGACAAATCGCATCGAAGAAGAAACATCCGACAGACAAAGAAAAATGAACCAGAAAAACAGCAGCACTCAAGAGCGACCATCACAGAATTACGACAAAACACACGGCAGACAAAAACCCGCAAGGCTGTAGCCATGCGCAAGGCTTCGCGCATAATATGACACATACTTACTGGCCAGTTTTAGTGAGCGCGGTTGACGCCAGCTAAACACCCACAGGCCAACAACAACCGCAAGTCCTGCGAGCATTTCCCCTGCGTGAGCACTCCAAAGCCCTCACAAACACCGGCCGAGCTCCACACGGATGGCGGTCCGGCAGCAACGGAAATATATACAAATGGTGCCTGCGCTGCCGGCCCCTGCCCCATTGTTGGTCTTCCAAGCACGGTTCACATTCTACCATGATAAAAGGCATCAAAATCGTTGGCAAACGCAGACAGTCTCCAAGCCACATACAACGCTACGAGAGCAAAGTCCGTTTATCCGAGTTGGCGGCATACTGCAGCTCTACTACCCTAAAAAAGGGGGACGCCAAACCCAAAGCCTAGAGGTGCAACGGAACTCCAACACCAGTATTTCTAGGTCATCCCGAAGGCGTTCGTCAAAAGAAACTACACATTCAACCCAAGAGGATACATAGAAAAACGGTCGCCAAAGATCTGGATACCTTTTGCTCTCTCTCTAACAACTTCCGACACAGGTTTCGACCGTCAGGCCGGTGCAAGCATGTATTTAGCTCCTCTAACTTTGTCACCGCTCTCCCTCGAACCTCCTCGTCATCGAAGCCTGCTCCTTTGCCCTCCTTGCAGGCCACCTATCTATCCCACCGCCGGGAACTTGCATACCGGACAGATGGCGTTCTGCCGAAGCCACGGGTCGATACACTGCGGGGGCGTGATGGAGTCGTGCCAAGAAGAGGCGGCAGAAACGAGCAAGACGTCAGTCAAACACGGAGTGGGCGGCCGAGCTGGGCTATAAGGGTAATACAGGCCTTGGCGCTGCGCGCCATGTGCCGCGAATGGCAAACAACAAGACTCTGTCTCAACGAGTTCATGCAATATTTTCCCACCCCGCCGCAGATAAGCACGACGGACAAAACCGCGTCCAAGACCCCACCCGTCGAAAGCGCGTAATGGAGACATCTATACCTGCTTAGATCTCCGAATACAGATGCAGACCCGAAAACTGCCAGAGGAACAGGCACGATTGGTGATTCAGTCATTCTTTCAAGCAGAAATGTGGCGCAATATCAAGAAGAAGCGCTGCCATCAGTGCAGGAGTTGACCAAAGGTCACCGTCCATGCAGTGAAACTGAACAACAAGGACGGACACACTCACTACTAGTGCAGTCCATCAGGGCCTCATTTTTTCTCGCGCGACTCACTTCTGTATGGAACTGGTGCAAGCAGGGTATGATCCGCACACGCTCTCGCGGCTTGAAGGGATAGAGGCAGATGGAGCAGTTCTTGGGCTTGACGACGCTGTCGGCCGCCGGCTCCGGAATCACGAAGGACGGGTTCCGCCTGATCTCCCCCTCGCTCGCCCCGACCGTCGACGGCACGTCGTTGTTATCGTCTAGGTCTAGCAGCGCTTGGTAGTCTTGACGCAGGGGGGAAAAACGTCAAAACAGGGGTCGGGGGGGGGGGGGGGGCGTACTCTTATGTTTTGCATGCCTTAGGTGGTTAGACTATTGACCACGCGTCCTTGAGAGGGTGATGAATTGTTATTGTTCCCACAGAGCCTATCACCGATGGCCAATCGCTCTTTTATACTTTGCCAAAGGTGGCTACAACAAGGTTTTGTTTGGAGGGAATTTAAGTTACGACGGTGGCATCACACAATGGGGACAAGGTGTGCACGGTGTGTGTGGAACTACACTAGACTACTAATATTTAGCGCCGACCGCGCAAAGCGGCCGACCAATGGAAAACGCCAGTCCTAGTGAGGGTAAAAAACGGAGAACTCTTCTACAGGCCATATACTGGAGCACGTGTATGCGTGTATGGGATTTCAGGATTCGCCCAACGGACTCGAGCGAGGGCGGAAAACCTTGCCGGTGTGAACCGTGATATGTATATCGAGGAACACTGGGATGGGGGAGTTTCGGTGGTTTCGTGCTTGAAACGCCCGATTGATCATGGGCTTGTGGTAATCATTTTGCGCCGAAACTCGGCAGTGTCGTTAAAATGTGATCCTTGTATGTACGGAATGCGAACAAACTGTGAAGCGACACGAATATCTTTCTTGCGAACAGAAACCAACTGATCTGTCCTGTCTAGCATTTTTTTCTGACACGTTGTGTACGTATTATACGTGCAATGGGTACAGCAGCATTGAAGGGGTGCCTGACATACAATAGCTCGGCCTCGGCGAAAAGGTTAGGGTTAGACAAACAAACAAAGATTGCCTGGCGATGTGTCCCTTGAAAAAAACTCAAAAATGCAACGGCAGCTTGCGTGCCATTTGTCGCTACTGAGATTTTACCTTCCCCCGTAAAGTCACGGTCCACCAGTAGCAAGCGCAGCCTTCCAAGCTCGATACCGGGATGGTGCAGCTGTAATCTTGCCTCTAACGCTCCGCGCGGTATTCGTTGTCGCCTTCGACGCGCAGTGTTACTTCTGATGGCGTAGCCCTGAACGAAAAACGCGGCGAGGGACGGGTCTTGTGTCAAAAGCTGCCAATACCGTTCAAAGCGCCGGGGGTAGCCATGTCGTGGCTTGCGAGACAACTCCCAGACAAACCAACCCCCCGTGCCTTGCAACACTTTTCACGGAAGGCGCAGGAATTAATCCGCTAGGAAAACTACTGCTGCTTGCGTTTAGACACCACATCGTGTGCTGGAATGGTGCATGGCGGCGGTGCATGGCGGCGGGGCATGCACGCAGCATCATCTGCTTCGAGAATCTCACATTGACGAGTCGCACCAACCGGAAAAAGCTGACAACGAGCAGAGAACCTGCGGGGAAGCAGAGGGGTGGACAAGGCAGGGGGGCCACGGATGAACGGCGGGAGAGTGGTTCAGCTTGAGCAGTACGTCCAGCGTACGTCCAAACACGTTAGCCTGGAATAGCGGTATCGACCGCATACAGTTTCAGTACAGTACAGTAGGACGACGGTCTACGGTCTACACAGCCACAGCAGTGAAATAAAGATGGGTAGGCATCAACACGTCATCTCTCAGGAGCATTGACACGCTTTGTTTCCCATTCGCAAGAACGAGAGATACTTGATGCGCACGCAGCACAGCCAAAAACAACTTGCTGAAGCTGGGAAAGCGCAAGTAGAAATATGCATAGGATTAGAAGAAATTTCTGTCATATGCGTACGCAATTTGTTGAAAAGCAATCAGATTTCTGTGTTGCAAAACTCCGTAGACAAATTGTAGAGAGCCACTATTGCCGCTCCCGGCAGACGTGCATGGGCTATACATCGAGCCCGCGTGTTTCTGGGTAGTGTTGTGCATCATGAGGCTGATTGCTCAAAAGCCGTTGTCGCAACATAATATAGACGCGCCCCCGCCCAACCCCATCTCACCAAAGAATCCCCACGCCACCAAAGCCCAGTTCAGGACTCCGACTTGCACCTATTACAGAACAAGTAGCAAGGGTTCCACGATAAACCGGTGGGAGAGTCAAGTCAGTAGGTACGTTCCGATGAATGGTAACGAGGGTTGAGTGTGGGTGAGCGCATGCGCACCCACACACCCACACTCAAAAGTAGTTTTTTTTTTTTTTTCTTAATATGCCACAACGAATCCATCTCTATCATAGAAAAGTCTTTGCATGCGGGTTGGGGAGCGTAGTACAGCAGTACGCCATGCTGAGGAGGTCGTCATGTATTTCACACACACCGCAGTAAGCGTCGAGCCCAGGTGTGACAACAGCGAGGGATACGCGCTACACTCACAGGCACCCCCCCCCCTGTACGCAAATTTAAGAACACAAAAAGTTGAACTGAACTATTGCTGTAATTCATCCGCGCGCGCGGCGGAGAAACTACGTAAATGTACTTCAAGTGAGGGTACACCGCATCCTTAGCTTGGAGTTGGACCTTGCATCAAGATGTGCGACGACGAAGATAGAATCAACGGGAAAGCGACGATGCCGGGCCGCGGTCAGCACCAGTGTACATCCCTGCTGTTACACCAAAATTGTGGCACCTATTGTGGTAAAAGGTACTCCGTTCTACAGTACAGCAGTAGCCTCGGTCGCCTTGCTGGTACTCTAACACCAAGTTCTACGTTTATACTCCAGTTTAGTGTTTGGTATGCACACCATACGCCGGACTTACCAGAGAAAACACACATATCATGAGCAGAAGGCCCACGAATCGCCGCGACCGAAGGGTTATCAAGGACGCCCGCAGCGGCCCAGCCGAGCGCCTGCTAGCCGTGTCTGGCGGGCTGATGGTTGCCGCCCTGCCCTCCTCCGCGTTGGATAGTGATGCGTTCCCCCCGTCGGCACCTTCCGACATTGTTGAAGAGATTTAGACTACTTGTGCCGACGTCAACGACCGTCGGAGTCGTAGCGAGGCGAGCTTGCGGAAGCCTTCCAACCCTCCAGATCCTGCTGGTCAAGCCAGTGTAGCGTGCCGAGTGTGTCAGGGACGGCGGGCTTGTCAACACTCACCGCCCTCCGGCCACCGTCGTACCGTAACTTGGCCGCCAGCTCAAGATGGGACTTATCTTCGCAGATGTGGGTGTACCGCTCGTCTGATCGATAGCCTCCCGTCGGGACTACACCGAGACAGTATGGCAGTAGTACCATTCACGATTCTCAAGCACAATGGGCGCCCGGTCAGGCAGCACGCACAGCGAGAGAGGAGGGCGGAGACACCAGACTACAACACACAGCAGTAGATAGCCCTGGATGGGATGCAGATGCATGTTGGCCAAGAGCTCACAGAGTGTGTACAGTTAGGACTGGGGTATGTTCAATATATAGCGTCACCCCCACCTCCCCGTCGTGTGGTACTCTGTCGCATCGTACATCAATGACCAAACGTTCAATCTGGTCTTAGCGGCCCGGTGGGCAAGGCGCAGTCTCGTACCAAGCACGTGGAAGTACATCTTTGTCGACCTTGCCGGTGGGTCTCATCCTTGGTTTTGCGAGTGAACGACAGCAGTCGCGGTGCAAGTGAGCATACGAGGGGCATCCGCTGTTTGACTCTCTTGAGAGCTTCTCATTCTCACTGGAAATATGTTCAAGGAGACAGAGGACGTCGTCTTGATCGTGGCGGGCTTGTCGTCCGCCTTTGCGGTTGGCCTGTCCAGCCTTCTCATACGCCGGCACCTTATCCACTTCTCCCGCCCGGTGGTGCAGGTGAGTCGAATCGGCCCACGCTATCTGTGCTAAACATGATGCATTATTTTCTCCGCGCTTCGAGAGGCTAATTGAAGTGTGGGAAATTAAGTGCTCCTGCTGCTGTGTGACGGCTGTGACACACCTGCGACAACGCAACGTGATGGTCATGAACCCTCTGACCAATTTCGTTGGAGGTTCGGGGTACTGGCTAAGAGCAATGGTGGGCGATGGTTCCAGTTCACAAGGTGTTGTTGGCGAGTTATGTGGTAGGCCGCACACATGTGGTTTGGTCAGGAGGGACGTATAGCTTGGCCTGGTCTTCGCTGCAACTGAACACTGCTGTCTTTAGCACTTCGAGTGGCGAGCATCCCTTGGTTGTCGCCGCCACTTTTGGCTGACATTGATGCTCCTTCTCCTGCTCGTTGGGCGTGAAAAAGGCTGCTGCGTGGGCTCATCGCCTAGATACACCCGAAACGTGGATTTATGAGGGAGGTTTGGTGTGCCAAGTTGACCAATAAACGACCAACACACCCGCATCCATGCGTGTAATTCCTCCGCAACCCAGGGGAAAATTATCGGTATCCTATGGATGGTGCCCATCTATGCCATCGACTCGTTCGTCAGCCTTCGGTTCAAGAACACAGCTCCGTACGTCGACATGCTACGAGACTGCTACGAAGGATACGCGCTGTACCTCTTTCTGGCCCTCATGGTTGGGTACCTCGGGGACGGGGACGAATACAAGGTACAGGAGGCAGTTCCGTGGTTTGTCGCTCGGGGGGGGGGGGGGGGGATCACCCGACAAAGAAGGTCGGGCTAGGCCGTATTGGCGCAAGGATGGATGGGTTGAGACACGTCCTGTTAGGTAGCGGGTGCTTAGCGCGAAGAAAAGGTTGGCTCACGGGGCCTGTTTGTTAAGGAGTGAAGAGGGCACATTGGTGGCCCTAAATAGCACTGCAAAAGGGGATCACCCTTCTACAAATACGTGTCGCACGAAACCCCCTCGATATCCGCAGATCCGTATCTAGTGCTGAGTATACCTAACACCTCCTTGTATCCCCGAACAACCGCGATTTACTGCTGTACCCCCCTCTCTCAACCTTGGCTCGGAAACGTGGCAGGTTGTCGATATCCTGGAGCAGTGCCCGTCGTCCAAACACGCCTGGCCTTTCGGGCTGGTTATGAAGGGCCCCATGCCGCACGGCCGTGATTTCCTGCGCTTCGCCAAGTTTGGCACGTTGCAGTACAGCTGCGTCAAACCTCTGGCTGCTTTTGTGGCGCTAGTGTTGGCTCCGTTCGGCCTGTTCCAGGAGGTGCGTTGTCTTCGGTGGCGTCCGTGTACTCCTGTAGCGCAGAATGTTGTCGTGTTGGCGCACAACAGCACAGCGGTAGTACTTGACCTCCCCGGCGGCTGCTCTTGCTTCGAGTCCTTCAGAACTTCTCGCGTGTTTTTGTGTCCGGCGGTACCTGCGACATACATAGCGCGGCGGCAAATGTGTAGGCAACGGTGCTTGGAGCTTGTGCGCTGTTGTATAGCCCCATCATAGTATACCAACCTACCTTATCGGGTAGTATATATTTTTCTTCAGCTTCAGCTTGTAGCTGTTTGGACCAACCAGCTACGTTTCACGCCGTCACACTACCCCTATGGTTGTCTTCCATGGCATGGCCGTGCTATCCCGCTGGCAGGGAGATTTCAGCATCTACGGGGGTTGGCTGTACATCTCGTTCGTGGTGAACCTGAGCGTCTGCTACGCGTTCTACTGCCTGGGTATGTTTTACTACGTGCTCAAGACACCGCTCAAGCCGTTCGACCCCGTGCCGAAGTTCTTGTGCATCAAGGCAGTATTGTTCTTGTCCTTCTGGCAGGTGTGTTTGTGTGTGTTTTTATTTTTAGCATCGACCGCGCTAACCGGCTGACCAATGAAAAGACGTCAGTATCAGTGCGGTGGAAAACATAAAACACTTGTATCTGCCATGAACTGGGACCCCGTGAGGGGGCTTGATGTGGGAGACTGAGCTACTCTCCGGATGAAAAGACAGAAACGGTAGCAACAGAGAAAACTGCAGTGTTTGCCGCGCGTGTGTGTGTGTCTGTCTGTCTGTCTGTCTGTCTGTCTCTCTCGCTCTCTCTCTCTCTCTCTCTCTATCTCTCTGGTGGTTTTGTCAAAATAGTCAAGGGTTTCAATGCGCGAAGGAGCTACGGGCAGGCACATATCCCCGACTTCGTTGATGAATGGAAAGGAAAAACTAGTCCCCAGAGGCGTTCCCGCGTCGGTTTCGCGCTGTTGTTTTGCACGCGGTGCGGAAAAAGTAATTGCGCCGCTGTTATGCAGCCTTCGATCTGTTGATTTTTTACGATGGAGAGAGGTATTTCGAGGTCTGGTTTGGACGGAGACATTCAACGCTGCGGCACTATACATGTATGGTGGTCCGTGGAACTCATGTAGCTGTGTGAGAGTATCTCCTGTTCTCTGAAACCTGTCTCCTGCCGTCAGCTGGGGTGGAAGTAATCCGACCACAGATGCAGGTCGTTACTGCTCTGAGTCTCTTGTTTTAGTTTTGTTGTTGTTAGGTATACACCATGCAGCCTGACTCCAACACACACCAGTCCAGCTGGGTCGCACACGATACCACATGGGCACATGATGTGATGAACTCCTATATCTCAAAAATGACGTCCGAACACAGCGTCTGGGAACGCCCAATAGCCATGGTAACGCACCATCACATGCCTACTGCATGTGGCCAAGGTAGACCAGTTTTGTTGGTCACGTCTATCCACCTCTTCGACGTCTGGTGATGAGGGGATGCGATACACGAGCGCCCTTGCCCCGTCCCTTGTTACTCAATCTCAGCTGAGACGCTTGGTTGGTGGGTCCAAAGACTAAGGCAAGCAACACATGAGACCCCGTTGCCTTCCCCCTTGCCTCCTCCCCTTGCCGCCTGCGTTGCGAAAAAGGGTATCGTGATTGCCGGCTTGGTGAAGCTGAATCTCATTCACGAGATGGGAGGCTGGACGACGAACAACGTGGAGAAGGGCATTCAGGACTTGCTCGTCTGTGTTGAGATGCTCGTGATAGCGATAGCGCACACCAGGGCCTTCTCCTGCAAGCCTTACGAGGACGGCGCCCCGCGGCGTGACGGAGCGAGCCTGCTGGAAGCCCACTTCGCTCACCATAGCGCTATCAGGGATTTCAATGAGGTGAGCGCGCTCGGTTTACGGAAATTCAGGTGAATGGAAAATTTTCGAGGGTGTGTGTGTGTGTCTTCTGTGCCACCCACAGCCCAACCGCAGTGTGGTTGTTTTTTTTACCTGTTTTGCTGGTATATGATTACGAGAAGAACATCTTCACGCTGACATGTTCTCAAACACGCGTACTTCGCAGCAGTACCCCACATAGTGTCTCCAGTTGTGCAACTGCTGGTTCTTTGCGTCCTTTCCGCCTGAATGATGCCCGACTACACCCCCCCCCCAAAGATAGGATAGACAGGATAGGGAAAAGCTATTTTGAGCCACCTTTGTCAAAGTAGGAAGGAACGATTGGCCATCGTTGATGGGTCCTGTGGGGACAATGCTCCGTCCGCTCGAGGAACACGTGGTCCATTGCAACAGCTAAGGGATGCAAAACATGAGAGTACCCCCCCCCCCCCCCCCGCCCCGCAGGTCATGCCCGTCCTCATTCCGTCTAAGCTTCCGACCGGGCCCGGCGAGGTCCTCGGTACGGATACCCGTGGGC